AGCTAAGTCTCTATGGGTTATCTTAGACCCTGATCTCCCAAGCCCTGCCCACGGTATCTATACGGAGACGTCTCCGGCGGAGATAGACCAATCAAAATGCTTTGTGCCTCTGGACCAAGTAAAACAATCTGGGGGGCATGCCCCCCCTGTTAAACCCATATATTATAATTTGATATTTTGTAGTTAGGTTTGAAATCTTCTTGAAATTAATTGATTTGCAACAGTTTTAGTGGCTCTAGGTGTGATCTGCAGCAAACGATACGCAGTTTGACCCCCATATCGTTCATTTCTTTGGTGTGTGGGTTTTTTTTGTGTGGTTTTAGTAAGCGTTTTACGGCATTTGCAACACAATAATGTCATATATGCGTCACAATGTGGTGGAACCAGGCGCTCGTCAATTTTTGGGCATATGATGAGGTTATTGATATCATCTTAAAGTTTGTTTCTTTGTGTTGCTTTTGGTGAAAGAAATACCCATCTATCTTGAAAAGAAGTTGAGATATGTACGATTGAAGGAGGCGAAGTCGCTCGGTTTCAGTGGTAAAATTAGCAAGGAAATGGCCACCAAAGTTTGACATTTTTCTGTGAAATTCACACGGAAATGTGTTCTATATGGACACGAAAGGTATTGAGTCAAAAAAACGAAAATCCGATAACAATTGCCAAACTGATGGAAAAGTGAAAAGTTTCTTCACTTCAATTCCTTTGTTTTGACGAGCGCCTGATTTCACCACCATGTCTGATATATCTGTCCCCGTCGTTTTATGCAAGAAAAATTCTGAAATTATGCAAAATGAGCCCAAAAATGTGAAATTATGCGATTCTGTTAATTGTAACAAAGAATGAAAAAGGAAAATAATCAGAAATAATGCAAAAAATGATAAAAAATTTTCTAAATTATGCGGGGTGCATAAAACCACGGGGACAGATAAGTGCCGTTGATTTGACGTGTTACAAGAGAGTAACAAACAAATAAAAGAAGAAGGAGAGATAAAGGCGATAAGATGTTTGATAGGAAAGAAGGAGCAGACCACACCAGAGCACCCACCAACCACCTACTTCAAAGCTTGCTAAATTCAACAACAAAACAAAAACTGAAACAAACAAAACTAAAAACAGGTTTGAGCTGATGGGGAAGGAGCACTACATTTATTCCAACAAAGACATTCTATATTCTTCTGTCCCCGTGGTTTTATGCACCCCGCACAATTTAGCAAAATTTGATCATTTTTTGCATAATTTCTGATTATTTTCCTATCATTCTTTGTAAGAATTAACAGAATCGCAAAATTTCACATTTTTGGGCTCAGTCTGCATAATTTCAGAATTTTTCTTGCTTAAAACCACGGGGACAAATTATTACCCTAAAGGAGTTTCTTTTCTTTCAGTTTACCAACGCTGTTTTTCAAAATAACGGTGTATAGTGTTGCCATCTCCTACATGTGAGGCAGCGTGGTGAAATCAGGCTTACATCAAAATCATGAAATTTTTAAAAAATGGCAATTTTCTGCAGGTATGGGAATTTTTATCGAATTTTTGTTTGTTTGGCTCAACAGCTTTCATGCCCATTAAAGTTAAAGAACGAATTTCTGTGTGGATTTTACTGAAAAACGTTTATTAAACGCATAAAAGATGTAAATTTTCAGTTTCCACCAGCTCTCAACCTCAGGAAAAAACTAAACTCTGGCGGCCATTTTCTCCTTAAATTTTACCTCTGAAACCAGGCGACCCCCACTGCTTTCAATCGCCAGTTGCTCGACTTGCAGCCAAGATAAATGGATACTTTTTTCATCAAAAGCAAGGCACATCGACAGACTTTAAGTGGATACCAATAACTCCATATGCCCCAAAAATGGACGAGCGCCTGATTCCACCACGTCGCGACACATATCATTACTTCACGCAGTGTAAACATCACACTTAAGTCTACGTTCACATAAGAATACATGACATAAATTCTCTCTCTCTCTCTCTTCTGGCGCTGTGGCTTCATAAACGGTCAGCGATGCCGACAGCACGCAGGAACTCAACACTCGCCCGGGGGTCCTAAAAAA